GTAAGTGCTAACATTTACATGGGGGAGAGGGAAAAATGTTTTTGCCTTTAATGTCACTTTAATGAAAAAATGGGAGCCTAGTGGTCTCTGGAATAAGATTGCAAGCAGGCATAATCTGGAGCAGTTCATTTTCAAAGCTTAACTGAACACACTGGGGTCTATTCACGAAGCTGCCGAAGCATCTAGCCGTAGCTTCGGATGATCCTTCGGCTAGTTTCGGCCTCAGGACCCCTTTGGTTCAGTAGAACCGAAGGGCTGCTGTACGGGCTCTTCACTATAGCCCGAACAGCTCCCGAAGTCGGCCGAGCCGGAGGCATATGCCGGCCGACAGCCTGCTACTGACTGCTGAGCATGTTTGGCCAACCCGAAACCGCACGAAGCAAGCCGATGTACGGCTGATTTTCTTCCTGTTGGCAGCAATATAACTCAAATTTCTCTGATTCCTGTGTTTCTCAATGAACAAGAAAAAGAAAAAAACATTTTTATAGTACCTCTGTTTTCATTTCCATAAATAGATTGCACTAAAACTATTTACATTTATTTAAACTCAATTTATATTTATAAAGGGTAAGAATTTACACTGGAGAATTCATCCAATCCTTTTGCTGCATAACATTTACAAATGTGAAGGTAACATTTTACCTGAATTACAAAGCAAGCTTACACTGTCTAAATCACCAAAGAGGAATCCTTAATGACCGATAGCCATGAAATGATAATGACTCAATCCAACGGTCATGTTTATGTCAAGCCCCCAAGTCCTTAACAGAAGCTTTAACATAGATACTGAAGGAAGACAAAACACTTATCTCTTTAGTAGGGTAGAGACTACTATTGAGTATTTTTGTACTGGCTACAAACACAGTAGCAGTATGTTTAGTTTTTCTTAAACATGAAAAGAAAAACACTGTAAGAAATTAGTAAAATTACACATTGAAATGTATCCAGAGAGCTCAGCCTTCCTGCTGAGAAGTTCAGTTTTCTCATCAACATATTAAGTTATTGCAACAGTCTATTCTATTCTATTTTGCCTGAAAACGAGTGGTCCTGGAATGCGCATGCCGGTGATGCTGGCACACCCAAATACTGTACGTAGCTGTCCCTTGCACATGGATTCCATGGGATGTGTGTTTATTCTGCAGAGGATTAAATGTTCAGATTAATTAGGTGAACAGATCAGTTGTTATGTTTACTGGATAGCATTAGTAATTCACTATTATGACTTGCTGCCTGAAAGCAAACTCCAGTGTTGCAATGTACCTCAACACATATCATACTTCTAAAACTGTGAATGGAAGATTATAAAATTATACAAATATCCCTTTATATTACAGAATCGAAATACATACATACACAAAATATATAAAATTGATCAATGTACTGCTTCATCCAGACTAAAGACTGTAAGAGCCCATCTAAACCCAAAACCAAAAATTGAAAATACTGCAGATTAGCAGTCCTTAGATAAGGTATTTTTTTTTCTCGGGCTGTTTTTCTTTTTCTTTTTATCTGTAATCGTGCAAATAACGCACTTCCTTTCCCTGGGTGGCTACACTCACTCCTCCACTACAGTTAGGGAGGTAATCACATTTGTCATCCAGCCCGTACTTCATACTTGTATGCCTTTGGTCATCTGATCCCCAACATTAAGGGATTAGTAGTTTTTAAATTACTAATGCTGTATTACTGTTGTTTGGCATGAGTCACTACATACCAGTGACATGGGAATCAGAGCTATTACAATTGTGACCATGCCCCATGAGAACACGGCTTGTGCTTCAAATGTGACAAAAGTTAGCTAGGCGCATGTAGCGCATGTAGCAAGATGTACAGAATATGAGCACCTTAATAGTAAAAAAAAAAAGATACTTTAATGTTAGTACTGATGCCCAGCTAATGTGTGCACGGAAGCTTGCAGCCTTAATGGAGAACTATGAGGTGAGTGCTTTTCACTCATCCTCATAGTTCTAGCCAACCTGTGACAATGAAACTGTCACAGGTCAGCTCAGTAGATCGGGAAGTGAGCGAACACATACCGGCGTTCGTTCACTTCTCGGTCCTGTCACGGCTCTCTGCCGTTACAGGGGAGGGACTGGATTCCCCCCTCCCCGCTCCAATCCTCCAGCGCTAACTGGCGGAACGGACAGGGGAGGGGGCGTGTACAGCTGGCTCTGCCTCTATATAGGCAGAGCCAGCTGTCACTCCCGCAGCTGGGTGGATCCAGACATAATTGTCGGGATCTGCTTAAGCTGCGGCGTCTCAGTATACCGCGAGCTGTAGCTCGCAGGATACTGTGGCATCTCAGTATAAAGCGAGCACTATGGGGAAAAGCCATAACTTCCCTGGAGACAGCAGTGTCCAATATCTGTGCAGTAAAATGTATCTAAACCCGAGAACAAAAATGTAATGCATCGCAGCTTACCAGTCCCTAAATGTGATGGCTGCATTAGTTTTCTTTTAGGCTTTTCTTCCTTCATTTTTATTTAGATGAGCCAGTCAGTAACACACTTCCTGTCTTAGGGTCACTACACTCACTCACTCACTGTACTGTGTACAGGAGTAGCGTTGCCTCCCTTGGACAGCAGCATTGTCAACCAGTGGACAGGTTTGTGCTAGATGCACTAGTAGATTTAGATGGACTTTACATAAGCGGCTAACACATTCAGGCCTAACTCCATCTAACACTTTTTAAAGAGTTACAGTAACAGTGTTCTTTCCTTTTAGAATAAAGTTTATACAAAATTTTTAAAAAAATGGCCATTGTAAGCCCCCCTGTCAGCTGTTAAATTGTTTGTCTCAATCCCCTAACTGACACTTTTGCTGGACTACTTAGTCTGCTGAAGGAAGTTGCAAAATCACAGACGTATTGGCTGGATCAATAGGTTACACAATTATATTACAGGAGGACCTCAGAAAAACAAAACTGTTGCTTTAATGGCAGTAATAGACTGTACAATATATGAAATTTTTTTTGCCCAAAGCTCCACTTTAAATACAAAAAAATATTTTGCAATAGGAAAAAAGGCCTTCTTTTAGATCCTGTAGAAGTAATAAAACCCTTGCCCTTGCTGTTCCTTTCTGGGCATCATGACATAACTACTACCTCTATACGATTTTCAATAGCAGGCTCAATGTTTAGATTTTGTCCCTGGATGTGCTCCTGTTCTTGGATACACCTAATTAAATTCCTGTTTGTAGTGTTATGTAATATTGTACAGTCTTTTTTTAAATGACAATAAACTCAGGAGTTTAATCTTAAAAATACATTCAAGTACCTTAACTATTAACAGAATTGTATCTTATTTGTGTATCACTCAGCTGTAGATCTTCAAATCATCTCTAAATTCATGCCGACACTGTCCTTCCTTCTGGAGGGTGGTTACTTGTGTTCTCCATGGTCCCTGTGTGTGCTGTAAAGTAGGCACCGCTCCAAGCTCACTCCTGTGATGGACTACAATCTCAATACAAATTAGTAAACTAAACGTGAGATTTTAGTATATTGTGGGAGCGAGCTTAGAGCGGTGGCTACTTTACAACATTACAACACACAGGGACCATGGGGAACAAACATTTTTGTTAATAATTAGGGTACCTGAATGCATTTAGCAGCTGAGTTTAGTTTCACTTTAATTTAAAAACATCTGACACACTGCACAGGCAGCCATGAGATAAATGTATTTCTTGGTTCAGAAATGTAATGTGTCACTTTTCCGTCTCCAACCTGTTCCCCGTATAATGAGGCAGTAAACTGAACCATAAAGTAGCAGATTGATCTTCCTGGTGCATTGTGGCAGAGGTGAATAAATCACCAAACTGGCTGCACAGAGTAACAAATCCTCAAACAGGTAAAACATATATGTCCTTCAACTCTGTATATCTATCTGCCTGGTATTCCACTTTAATAGTAACCTGATTTGGCCTAAAACTGAGATCAACCGAGATTATGAAGTTTACAGATGAGATTTCCCAGCAAGGCACTGCTGATGTAACCTTCCCAGGATGCATCTCTTAGGCATGGGCTGCATCACTAATGCCCAAGAAGACCAGAAAGTGGAAAAACAGTTATTGTAAGTAAAATGAAAATATCTAAATAAGTGTGATCTAAAACACACTTAAGACTGCAGCAGGCTGTTATAGAAAATGGTGTGGCATATAGCTGAAATAACATGTTGTACAACTTTCATTCATGTCTTTGATCCTGCTGCAGCCTGATCTGTTAAAAGGCAGTTTGGTTGTTTATTGCAATGTTATGCAATGTCCATTTGATTTTCTTATGCTCTGTTTTATATACTACAATCTCTTTTGTAACTGAAAAATTCTTAATAAAAATACACTGAATGAAAAAAAAAGGCAGTTTGGAAGACCAATAACATTCATACATTAAAAGCAATTTTCTGCTGGAGTCCTTTTTTTTTGTGTTGATTTATCACCTTTTCACATTTACCAAATGGTCATCAATGATGTCCATTTCCTTAGTATTTTGACCCATTATTCCTTTTTACAGTTTTATATACTTTAGGGAAAACCAGTCAGCATACCTATGACAATACATTCTTGTAAAGAAGCATCAGGCAGATTTATTTGTGTGGTACTGTATAACAAAATTAAATATTGTTTATTTTACACAATTGTATTTATAATCTTTTTATATAGTATTAAAAAGTGCTGGTTAAAAAAAAAAAAAAAACACACATAGAAAAATCAATAAATTTTCTATTTATGTTACACATACTTGCTGTCACAAACCACTTTCCATGATGTATGTCTTTAGACTATTTATACTTGCTATGATGTGGTGAGGAACACGCAATACTCCTTCAGTATTTCCAAGCATCAAATATTTAACTTCCTGTCCATTCTATGGTAACAGATGTGTGTAACAGACGCAAGAAATGTAAGGACTGTATATAAAGCAAAAGAACACCATAGGCAGGTGAATGCTGATAGTCTGAAGGCACATTACAGCCTCAGCTGTTCAAATGTCTAGTCTTTTTTTTTTATTCCGGTACAAAAATATATGTGTCTTTGAAAAAGTAGAGAGACTCCTATTTTCTTTAGAGCTTATTTGATTCAGGAGCTTATCTTCTTGTGTGCTAGTTGTCAGTTTTCTGTGAGTTCACTGACTCGAGTCCAGCATGAATTGAACACAGCAGACATCCATCGCCCAGTGTTTATATAATATATACTTTGTTTTTTTTTCCTTTTCATTTTTACTTTGCACTGGTCTCTGTTAGGTTGTAACGTTTTATAAAACAGTTATACTGAAAGTGCAAATATGAAGTTTGCTACAAACAGCTTTGAAGGCTTGATCTGTTATCTGCAGGCACAGGACTCCACTGTCATGTTGGGATAAACCTTGAGCACGACATTCTTGTTTTCATCAAAGAACAGAATGCTGAGAGACGACATCTTTTCTGGGACGCAACAAGGCTCAGGAATGCCAGGAACCACACCCACAGCGCGGACGATGCTCTGGATGGTGGCATGGTTGGATGGCTTCAAGGACTGAAGAAAAAAACAAAACACAATGATATACTTAGAATCTGTATAGCTGAGATTAAAACGGCATATTTCATACTTTCTAAAATGTAGACATAAATTTTATAATGAAAGTAAATATATTATCTAATATATTATATAAATGGGAAAATGATAACAATGTTTTGTTCTATTTTAATTATGATGCTGTAGAGTGAAGATCCAAAAATATGTCCTATGCATTTTTGTTATTCACAAAAGGGTGAAGAGTTTGGAGAAGACAGGAGAAGTGAACAATCTATGACAACATAGCTGAACTGAATTACGAGCTGAAATTGAAAATCTTTTCCAGTTCAGCTATGTTGTCCTAGATTGTTCACCTCTCCTGCCTTCTCCAAACTCTTCACCCTTTAGTGAATAATACAAAACACAAAAAGAGTCCCCAGCACACCTGCCAGCTAGCCTGCAACAAAACAAGTTATCCTGTCAACAGTGTGCGTTAAAAACAGAGGTTTTAGTTGCGCAAACCTTTGGCCAACAACAGTATGCGTTAAAAACAGAGGTTTTAGATGATGAGTTGATTTCTCATCATCGTGACTACTGCCAGGATGATGGCGTTGAAAAGCATACACAAAGAAGAAGGAGGTAGTAGGGAAGCATTCATCATGCTTTAGAATTGTAAGTAGCCAATGAACCAACACTATGAACCAAGCAATGTATGTTTCTTCCAATATTCCCCTCAGTCTATATCTACTGATGATATTCTCTGTTTTTTTCCTTGATGAATTCTACATGCTGGATAAATTAATGATAAGGTACACTAGTTTTCATATATACATAAGTAAAAATACAGAAATTACAACTGTTATACCAACTTCTCAGCATTTGTATAGCCTACCCCAAATCTACATAGTTAATTTTCAAAGTCTTATGGTATTTAAATGAGGCTCCCCTGCACAGTCAGAACTCCAGACAACTGTATTTAAGTGCTCTCTGTGGTTAATTCATGTGTTCTGCTCCTTCTTGCAAATATCTCCATGCCAGACAAATGTTAGCCTTTCGCTGTTAATTGATACTTAATGTCTCTAAAGACCCTGTGAAGATATGCCAAATGCTGAACCAGCCAAAAACATGAATACTATCATAAGCATGACCCAGACACTGTAGCTGGTAACGCACATTTATAACTTATCCTGCTTGAATATATAAGAATGAGTATAGAAAATGCATTAAGTGTGTGTTGGCCTGTTCTGAAAAGCCCAAGTGACTTATGCTTGCCAGGAACTATTTGTCATTTGCTGTCTTTTTCCATTTTAGCTACATGCATAACACCTAACCTTAACCATTGTTATGCATTTTTGCAGGATATGTCTTTTAAACCCGAACTTACAAAACTGTGCCTTGTCTCCAACCTAGTGCATGCAAGTGTGTACCCTAAGCATTCCCCCTAAAGTTATCAGTGATAATTCGTCTAACTCAACTTTTGCTACAATTACTTTGTAAATCACAATTATAGGGTCCCCTGAAGAAGTCTTTTACAGGACAAAATGTGTTAGGCAGAGTTTCTTGTGTTTCATTATTTTAGGCAGAAGGCAAAACAACATTGTCCATTTCTATTTTATTTTAATATTTCCTGTATTTCAATGCCTGAGGCATCTGTTACATCTGAAGGCAGACTCTTGCAGTAGTTACTGCACAGAGCTGGAAACATTGTAATGTAAGCTTGATTAGGTTGGATCTGAATGATGAGAGCCCTGTGTGGGAAGCAGGAAAAAAGCCTGAGCAGAGGATTATTATTAAGTGCTGTTAAGGCTTTATGGAAGTGAGGTCTGTGGAAGGTTGGTGAGTGAAGTTGAAGTTGGCGTTTGGTGGCAGAATATAACAAAGAGATGAAAACTAATTGCAGATTAATCACACGTATATTTTATTTGTACTTTTTATATACTAGAGAGTTCACAATACTCATAACTGTATGTACATTTTTGTATCATTTTTTTAAACTGTTGCAAAGAACTCTTTATAAAGATAGTTTTATAGAGAGTAAAACTTTAGATCTTGGTTAAGTACTATTGGAAGTAATTGCTTGTGACATTGACTTTTGGTATCGTTGAAGCCTATATGGATAGTCATGGGTGCTGTGGTAAGATCCTAGTTTCCAATGCAAATTTTACTTCCTACTCAGTGTAAATGATAGTTCTGATCAGTGGGGCCCACTGGATGCATAATATTTTGTTATATAGTAAACAATTATAGAGCAACAATTATTAAGAGCAAAACCTGCCAACATTTGTTTGACAAGGAAGCCGCCGCTCAATCCGCATATCTCTGTAGCTTCAAATGCTGGCCAAAGAAGCTTGCCAGCCCTCCCCACATGGAACGAACAAACAAGCAGGCCACAATCAAATGACATCAGCCCTTTACAAAGCTTTATTGCTCCAGGACAACATCACAAGAGTCCGCCCAGACCAAGCCTCATCCTAACATATTTTACCCTAAAAGGGCTTAATTATAGAGATGGCTGTAAAGGCTATGTCATTGGAGTGTGTCTGGCTTGGTGTATATTCTATTGGTGACTATATGCTGCAGAGGGATACTGCAGGGGAAGGTGAGTTTCTCCAATGAGGACACTAATAGCAATAAAAACTGAGTTTTTTTAATTTAAATTCTGCTTGTGTCTTCATTTGGCATGTTTTCCCCTATTTCCTATTTTTTCCCATTTCTATCCACAGGGAATCATAAGGACAGGGAATTATAAGGACAGGAAATCTGCCTGTGACATAGGCAGTAGTAGGGTTGTAATCCTTCCCCAATCTATCTAAAATCAACAAATGGAGTTCTACTTTAACCCATACACAGTTGGTGGTACTGCTCTCACTTGCTGCAGATATCAGGCTATGAGTGCAATTAGTTCAGTTGAGTACTGCAGTCTTCCAATAGATAAGGTTCTGCTGTTGTTTTAAAGAAAGCTCCATATGACATGCATCAGAGGTGGGAATTTAGTTTAAAAGAAATTAACTGTAGAAAGTGATGGAAGAATATATTCAGTACACTTATTTAGTATGTACACATTTCTCTTTTGTGTGTTTCATACAAGTATTAAAGTCCTTAAGAACCTATATTGTTTATAGCTGTTAATAAAAACAATGGTTTTCCTTGTAAACCCTTTAGCCCTTCTTGTACTCTGAAAGAGAAAAAAAAATGTACCTTTCCCTTTGACTAACTTTTCAACCCGAAGGAGGAATATGATACGCTATCAGTGTCAACCAGCTATAATTAACCTTTGGGCATAGATCCAATCTGCTAGAGGCCCAGGAATTCCACAAAATACAGGTGGACCAAATCGCTTGAACTTACAGAAAATGTTACAAACACATCCAGAATTTCCATGCTTGTAAATTGTAAAACTTGATATTACATTTTGAAAACATGTGCTATATCCAATTCCACCCAACCCCATGTCACAAATGAGAGCTGAAGCCAATTCATACTTTTAATTCCACAGATAAACACCGCAACCAAATTGAAGAAGCATTAAGCCTAGAAATAAAATATGAACCATTCCATTCTGACCTGAACTTACTTGGCTTATATAAAATTACTGTTCTATTCAAAGAAACAGAAACACTGCTAAATGCAAAGGATACACCTATGAAAGCAGATTGGGCTTAAATGACCTCAAATATATGTACGGTATTATTTTCATTTTCTAGTATTTCGTATTTGCATATCACCCCAAGCAAACAACTACAGAAGAAAACAATGCAGAAATTCATGTCCTTAAAAAGCTTAAAATCATTGCAGTTCACGTTTACTTTGCCTGAGTGCCAATAATTGTTATTAATGCTTAGTACGGCTCGTTTTTTTTATTTGATTAGAGTAGGGAGAAGTTAACATTTCTGTCAGGTTATTATTCCTTGCTATTTATCCACATTGAGGATATATGACCTCACTATGTGTCCTGTGACGCCAATAAAAAAATGGGGGGTGCAGTTGTCACCAAAACAGGGAGGCAAAGACAGCAATAAAAACATTCTAAGCCTTCCCCATCTCACTAAAAATGTGTTTATGTATTTGACTGTGAATCCATTGGAGAGATTTTGCATCAATTCCTGTTCTGACAGGAAACCCCTGTTAGTTTATTTTTACCTTCTGTAGACACTACAGGAAGAGAAAGTTAATCTCCCTGAAGGGGCCATAAGAAGCAATAAAAACCTGTCAGGGGTTATACGCCTTCAATACTCTATCCAAACCTAAATAAAGTTTTAACTTTACTTAAACTTAAAATATACTTGGGGTTCATTTATAAAATTCCTATACTCTTCAGCTCCATCTAGTGTTGTGTGTATGGCATCCGTCTGGCTATATGTTGGGCTGTTATAAATGAATCCCTTTTTTAAATTTTAAACTACTCCTTTAACTACCATTTTTCATTTCCTTTTTCAATACTGCATTTAGACATTGCCACAGTGTTTACAAATCCTTGTTTGCAAAGTTCAAGTTGAAAATCTGACCTAAAATAACGTATTTGGTTCAGTCAACCACTACTTTCACTTCAGTATTTGAGCAGGTACACAGTACAAAATGCCTGTACAAACTCTTGTAAAGTTGGAAGTAGAAACAAGTTGTAAGGGGAATAGCCTATACTGTATGTAGGATGTCAATCCAAAGACTCATCCATGACCCCTATATAAGATATACAGAAATTTAGGTGTTCACCACAGATACAGTATCTGTGGGAGGCCACAAAACCTGCCTGATGGTTGCTGTTACACAGAAGAAGAAAGCAATCAGACAGATCAGAATCACTAATGTTTCTCTTGATAGGACATTGCCTGCCTTTTGCTTCGCCTTCACCTTTCTCCACTGAAACTGGAGTTTGCTTGCACAAATGCCAGCACTCCCATGTTTATATATAAAAACATTATTGAAGGTTCAAGTTACCTAATTATAAGGGTTGGTTGCTCTTTTTTAATCTAGTTTCATGAACTAGATTCACGTGTAAAGTTACAAACGCTATAGAGAAACCTTACTACAGGATCAAAACTCCACTGCTAAGGATAATCTGAATCTGTGAATCTGTGCTTTGCCCATGCAGGGTAAGTTAAGTGCAGACCTCCACAAATACATACATTTTCCTCATATTTTCTGGGACTTTAAGGCATAATAACTATCAACATCTATATAAATATAAATGAATTTTATTAAAAAACATTAACATTGAAAAAAATGTATACAACCCATCCCTTATTCTACCACCGCCTCACCCCTCACATAATTCAGAACATCACAATTTTTCATCTCAATATTTAGATACATATACTCAGTGGCATCACGGGCACTCGGGCACTCGGTCACAGAGAGAAGAGGGGACCCGGAAACATACCTCATCCCGCCGGGTGAACGTCCCCTCCTCTCTCTGCTGGCGTCCATCATCAAGATGGCCGCCGACAGGCGTCAATAAGATGACCGCGCATTCGCGATGAGGGAATGGCGCACACGCGCGCAACGTCACACACATGTGCGATGACGTCACGGCGGTCTCTGCTACGGGTGACACCCAGCCTCGGGACACCCCTGCATATACTTACCTTACTTTCTCTACCCTGCTGCTACGTTCAGCCACCAGGAGCAAAAGGAAAGTTGAGGGAATCTCTGCTTACCCAGGGTTATGGGCTCCCTGTGTGACAACATGCTGTAGCATGGTCCTCTTGTGGGTCATGATTTTATGTTATGGTGTCTGCACTACTAGCTTAGTAATTTTCTACATGTGTTTGTCTCTATAAATGTTTTGTTTTAAATGGATCAGTTGCATAGGGAAAACTATTAAACCTCTAATAACATGCCTATTTTTTAATTACAGTTTTTGAAATGTTACCCTTGCATGGCAGTCATAGCTATTACCAAAAATCACCTTGTCTTACCCGATAAAAAGTCAATTTTTTATTTTGAGAGAAGATGTTTTCCTACAAGTGGCTGCTCTGTCCATTATACCCATTGGCAATTAATTTGTCCCCAAAAAGACTGCCTGCTGTATTTTTGTAACAACCAGCCAGAAACGTAAAGGGAAGAATCTGACCAGTTGCTACAATCAACAGACACAGACACTTTGATATATGAAGCTGATTATTAGACATGGACATTTATTTTATTTCCGAATGGATATTCGTACAAATTTAATACAATTTGCATCCGCATGTATGAATTTAAACAAGTCTGAATTTCATTCAAATTAAATCAGACATGTGGCCAATCAGATGTGTTTTTTTTGGCTGTTGTTGGTTGCATTACAGGCACGCTTATGTGACTTCGTCCAGAAACGACATTTTGGATGGATCAGAAATCTGAATAACAAAACAAATCAAACTTCAGATCCGAAATCGATAAAAGGAGAAAATGAAAATCCGAATTGATCCAAAACAAAACAATTTTTTTGTGGGTTTACATGTCTACTGATTACAATCAATCTCTACGAATCCCCTAGAGCTTAGAATATATCTGAGACCTAATTATACATAGTAAAGTATTTACATTTCTTAACAAACAGTCATTGAGCTTTAATACAAGCCCTTACTGACATCTGTAGCTGGATGTATTCTACAGTAATGCATTCTTGATGTTAACAGCAGAAGCACTGAAGTCATTATCTCAACAGGTTAACTCCCCCTCCCAGCAATGACTGGGTAGCCGTTTATCCTCCTAATTTCTAATGTAAAGAGGTGCTCTAAAACAGGAGAACAGGGTGAGTTGAAGTCATTCAGGGCAAGCTTCCTGGGAGAACAAGCTAAATGACTTCAGTGCTTCTGATGTGAACTTTGAGAATGAACTGCTTCACAGTGCCTGCAGCTATAGAGGCCAGTGAGAGTGTGTTTTAAAGAATATGTAAGTATTTAAGAATATGTAAATATTTGATAGTCTATATCCTAGCTATGGTTCATGTAAGCTGCCGTTACTGACCTCACTTTGAAAATGCAAGTCGTCTTTCTGCAATGTTGACTTCTGCTTCAGTGCTTTCTGAGCCACGGACAAAAAACAAGTATGAAGATCGGAAATGTTAAAGTAATCTTTGTGTACTTGTTTAGTGTCAGAGGCTCAAAGTTTTAAATCAAGGGATTCTGCATGACAGCCAAGCAACTAGCTTTTGCAGAATAAAACTCAACAATACCAGCTCTATGTTTCTCACAGAAAAGATTTCCCTTAGTGTGACCGGAAGTACTCATCAGTAGTCTGTAAAATTAAGCTTTGTAATGCATTTAAATCCAATGCCTAAACATATTTATAATTAGGGGGGAGATTTATGAATACAATTTTGTATAATGTTGCTAGATACATCAATAATTTTTTTTTCAGTTTACTATTTTCTTTTTGTCGGAAAAAACCTGACAAAACAAAGTTGGAATGCTTGCTATTAGCAGAAGTGTGAAATGTGGACAATAACAAATGCAGCAAGAAGTGGAACATGAACCTCCTCCAGCGGACAAAAGGTCAGGCTGTTCTACACAGCAAGACATTAATGTTTGAATACTGTACAATAAATTCCTGCACATAAACCTTCAGTCTTTAAATCTCACTATTTTTACAACTACACTTATAGAATAGATATAAAAATATTACTTATTTACAGCTTCAGATGGCTCCCTAATAAAACAGCTGGGCTATTTTATTAAGAAAAAAAAAGACGTACAGTTCATAAAAAGGATGCACATTTCTGACCAGCACTGTGTGAAACTATATTTTGATATAAAAGCCTGTGTAAAAAATACTAATAAATGATTTACAGTACCTTTGACATTGGGAACTGGCATGCACCTGAGCAGTAATAAGCATCAAATGATTTAGGAGAAATAATCCATTCACTCCAGCCGATGTCTGCAAAGTCTACTTTAAGATAACGCCGTGCGCAGTTCCGTGGCTCATTCCACTGCTTTCTTCGAGCTTTTTTGAGGGTGTGCTCATCAAACTGCAACGTCTGGCCTTTCTGTCGTCCACTCTTCCTCAGCTTTTTCTTAGATTTCTCCTTCTCGACTGGCCGTACTTGGAGAGTTTTGTAAGGTTTCTTCTCCACCCATCTCTCTTCATCTTCATTGTATTGGTACTCAGCTCCTGGAAGTTCATTGTTTTGTAATGGCAACAAAATATCAGTTGACCGTCTACTCCTGCGATCAATAAGTCCTTCCTTTCTCTGTCTCTTATGAACTATACTAGCATGTTGTCCATGCAAGTTAGAAACCACACTGTCAGGCTCAGATATAGCCGAATCGTTGGCATAAACCAGAATATAAGGCTTATGTGCTTGTAGTTGTTTCCTTCGTTTATTTGCAGTATCAACTGTCATATTGATTGCAATGAGGGCCTCTCCATGTTCTTTGGCTTCACGCAAGACTTGGGTAATATCCTTCCAATGCCAAGATGGAAGGTCTCGATAGGTTGTAGAAATATTTATAAGAAAATTACCCAAATTTCTCGTTTGGTTCTCAAGAGATGTTAAACTGGACACTTTTAAATCTATGGAAAGTTCAGGTTTTCTGTGTCCACGCCTGGGGCAAGATGATGAATGATGACATCTCTGGCTGATGTTTAAAATATCTCCAAGATAATAATGAAATGTTGCTGACAATATATTTTCTGAAGATGTTAGTGAAGTTAAATTGAAAATATGCTGATTGTTATCTTCAACGTTTCCTGGGGGAAAAAAATTGATAAAAATATAAATTCATTATTTTAATCGTTAAAAGTCAACTGACATACCATCACTATGATCAATGCAAAGTGTACATATGGTACAGCTACCCCATGACCGTAAAAGCTGAATACGTCTATGCTGTGGAAGTCTAAAGAATCCCAATCACCTCTCTTACACCAGCAAGTGGACCCTGGCCTCCCCAAAGATGTATGGATCTTTCCGATGTTCATGTGCCTTACATCATCAAAGCATTATGTAATAGCCACATAAAGTTCGCACAAGGTTTTCCAATTATAACAAGATAGTTAATAACATTTTCATATGGGTGTTCATATGTCTAAAGAGTGTGCTAAAAGTCAACAAAACAAAAGAGTAGATCAATTACAGCTGTTTCCAAAATAATATACTACTGTAAGCAGAAATAGTCATGAAATATAAATAAGATTTATCACTACTTGCCTATTTTTAGCAGAGTATTTAGAGAGCTAAAACAATATTCAGTGTGAAGCATGCTTCAGTGTTCCATTCTTTCACTTATAAATGCAAATATTAAGTCCTATGTGTAAAGTGAACCTGTGGCCAGGATATGGACATACAAATATTTATGTATTCTTAAAGTGACAATGTCAGCTTGGTTGCAAAATCCAAAACATTTCCTGCAACAGAAGAGGTATTATACTCATCTTTCTGGTGGTCCCTCCCCCCCCACCTTCCTTCATTTTAGCGTTGAAGCCTCCATCAGACTCATCAGCATTTAACAATTCTGGAAGTGTAGGATGCCTGTGTCCCCGGCCACATGCTGTGGTAGACCGTGTCTTTTTTCATAATCTTTTTGAAATCCCAGTTTTTACTATATTAGTTAGGTTCAGCACTAACAGTTGCACAGCTGTAGCATCAGTCTTGTGTGATGGCAAGTTTTCATGAAGGTAACATCTGCTTATTCTTTTTTAATTTATATACTTATCACTACCATGGTTTCCCACAGGTTAACTTTAAAGTGTATTTCCACTTTTGCAGTCAAATTGGGTTAACACCTATTTTATATTTGTTACATGCTCCCATTCACACAGCATAAGCTAAAAAAAATAAATAAAAAAATGCTTCTTGCAGTTTAAATTGTTTTTATTTGGGTTAGGGTTTTAAGGGTTACAATTTTTTCTTGCTTCTATGCTAGGAGGGGCAGTGATGAGTGAGGGGTCTTGTCCATTCAGAGGTGGCTTGTCAATTGTATGTTAATGTAGCTCATCAGATAAACACAATACTCAATTTTCAGTCCCAAGACTTTCTATTGGAACAGACCACTGTGAAAGGGCTCAGAAAAACCTGGAATCAGCCATCTTGTCTGATTTAACAAAACATCTAAAAGGTAAAAAAATGTAAAGTTGTTTTTCAGTATTGGAATAGGAACAACCTAAATTTGACTGTAAAAGTGGAAATTAGGGATGCTCCGATAACGATACTAGTATCGTTATCGGTGCCGATACCGAGTATTTGGATGAGTACTCGTACTGGCCCAAATGCTCCGATGCCTAGCCCGACACTTCCTGTATCAGGAAGCCGGGCAGCGTGTAAGGTTTCCTGATTGGCCAGGAAGCGACTCCATGCTCTCTTGTCACTTGTGATGAGAGAGCATGGAGTCGACTTCCCGGCCAATCAGGAAGCTGGGCAGCGTGTAATGGCGCGCTGCCCGGCTTCCTGATTGGTCGGGAAGCTGGCCAATCAGGAAGCCTGGCGTTGTGTAATTGACGCAGCGCCCGGCATTCTGATTGGCCGGGAAGCCGGCTTCATGCTCCCCCAGGACGAGGGACCATGGAGCCGGCCTCTCGCTCTGCTGAAACTAGCCAGACAGCCAATGATGGTGCTGCACTCTCCCTCCCAGCCAATAGCAAGCAAAGGAGGGCAGAGGCAGAGCAGAGCCGTCAAAGGAGATTTTCAGAGTAATCTGCTTTTCAGAGTAATCAGACCATAGAGGACAGGGGCTGCGTACTAATCACACACAGCATCTGTCCTTCCCAGGAGCTGCGCGATGAGGCCTAAAAGTCTAAATCTAAAGTTCGGAGTTGCAATTGGGAACAGGAATAAAGAAGAAATCTTCCAGAAACCTGTTTGGGGCTGTGTTGGGTTTTGGACTTGTGTCAATTATGTCAGTTTGAGACACTTCTGATATCATTCAGATTTTATTGACAGATGCATTTCACCTACAGTTCATCTCCTTGTGACCTGCATTTGACTTGCTTTAATTGGGCTTTGTATGCTTCAGACAGACTTTTATGGGAATACAAAACCCATTTGAAGCAAAAAAAAGCCTGTCGATTCATCGTAACAACTGTCTAAGAGGGGATTTCCCTCACTTTCAAAATATCTACTCTCACTTCCTGTTGATGTTTGAGACAGCAAGTGAAGGAAAACTCCTCAATGGGACACAGCCAAAAAAAAAAAAAAAAAACTTGACAAAGGTTTAAAACATTCCTTACTCTATCCAAAACTTAAAAACAGACTTTGTCTTTAAAAGTTGTATACTTCAATGCACAGTACAAACTCTTATGTTATAGTCAGGGCCATTTTATCCTACTTAATTCTGAGAAGGGCAAGCACCATCCTTACATAAAAGGAAGCAACCTATATGTACATTAGCTATAAGATTGTAAACTGTAAATCTAATTGGACACATTGGCTGAAAATAACTGTTACTTTTATGAAAATAAGGATCCTTATCCTGGTGTGTGCATTTACTTTCTAAACTGACCCTATTGATGGACTGAGATATTTTTAAGAAATGGTTACTGAATAAATTGGATTTAAATGGATCTTTTATGTCTACCTGATGCTACACACCACCACATGTTACACATGTTTTAATTCATTATCATTTTGTAAAGTAATTTGCCTGAATACTCCATATAAATGTATAGGAAAAAGCCTGATAGCCCTTGTTTTTTTAATTTTTATTAAATAATGTATTTTGTATTCAGTGGGATCCTTAAAAGACATTCTATATACAGAGGGGGGTCTCTTCCCAAAATTACAATATAACCATTAACTTTAAAATGAAAATGTGCTATTGTGACAGCTGTGATGACATTCAGCAGCTTTCTGTTTTACTTGATTTATTTCCTGAAGCAATCGCTCAGAAAGTCACCACATTAGATATTTTCCCTAACTGTAAAAGTCCATGGATACAATTCCAATACAAAGAGAAAACATACTTGGTTTTATCCGTTTTGCTAAGCTCCCTTCATGGGCTGTAACTGCGCCCACACTGGCGAAACTGGCAGAAACACGGACTCTCACGCTAAGCAGCACCGGAGAGCCATAAAATAGGGCTTTGTGGAAAATATAAGTAAAGTACGGCATGCGTTTAGTCTGGACTGGAAGCCGACCAAAGTATATGAGAACCAGGCTTACTGTTTTATTCAGAAACACCATGTGCCCAATCTATTATAATCTAATTATAGATTACCTCCATACCAGTTGAAAAATGAGCTATCGTAAATTTTTAATTAAAACTAATTAGTAAGAGAAAATTAAATTATATAGTAATCCTTTTAATATAGTGAGAGAGATTTGTGAACGAGTCTGCTCTGAAATTGTTTGCTAATATGGCTAAATGATGGTCAGCTGTAAAAGCATTACCTACACCAAATAGCAGAAAATACTTTTACATCATCGTGAAACTAGAGCCAAGGTGGATCTCCTAACATCGGTGGCCAATTTCTGTCAAGAGTACATGGAAATGCTGTACTGTAAGAGATGTCAACATGCAGGGAAACTGTCTTGGGAAAATATTTCTACTAAGTAACATAAATGAATAACTTATAGCTATAATTCTGCCTGATGCGTATTTGACAGATGTAATTTAATAGGACAAGTTTACTAGTTATACAACTCTCTGTCTTGGCCCCCACCCTAGCCCCCTAAACTACACTAGTCTGAACCAATCCCCACCCCAAGTGCCTCCTCAGATGGCAGCGGCTTTCTGCATTGTGTACATGCCAACAGGTAAAAATCTACATCTGGGCTGCCTGCACCTGTGCAGTAACAAACTGTAGACTTGAACGGGACGTACTTGTATTAATGGAGCAACATCCCATTCGTGTCTATTAAATGTTACTGAACAGACACTGCTAGGTCAGAACTAGATTTTTACTGGCTTGGATGTAAACAACATGGAAACCTGCTGCCATTGAAAGAGGTAAAAAGGCACCTGGGGGTGGGAGGTTGGAGAGGATTGGTTCAGCTTGGTGACATTTAGGGGGTTAGAAATGGGGACTGGGGGGTTAATATAATTATGCAAGTTGCCTAGCTATTAGTCTGCCACATTAGCTTCAGAGACCAATAACATTTATGGGGGGGAGGCCACAGTAGTCGTAAGTCCTTATCTGCATACTTATTTTGGGTTAGCAAATCAATGCATTGAAGAAAGAGGGGGGACAATATTTTTATGTTTTGACACCATACCATAAACAGTGCTAAAAATATTTCACTGTTATTGGTTGGAGTAGGAACTGAATACTGGTAATGCTTCAATCCACCACTGTGAAATATGCACAGTTGGCTTATAGCTTGAAGTGGACCTAGCATCTAAAATATTTTTCTTGTTTATTGCATGTTAAGTAGTGTATAAGTGTCCACTTCCAGTTGGTTAGGACCTTACAGACAGATCTTCCCCCTGACAATGCCCTAATCCATCTTTCTCTTGAGAAAGACAAACCCATACTTGTTCAGGCATTATTCAAGTTCAGCATCTATGCTTTGGACTTAGATGCTGGTCCAGGGATATGTCTTAAAGATTCATTTATCCTGGTCATGGTATAGCTAGTAGTAGTCAGTCACATTCAAACTGACTTGTGTTGTAATGTTAAAAAACATTTTCCAGCTTATTCAAGCCGCTTCTTCAGTTCTGAGTGTCAGGAACATATCCCAGCTTTTACAGATGCAAGGATAATCCAAACATCATGGGATGTGTCAAAGCAGATGTTACTTGTCCTAGTACAGGATG